TATACTTTTGTAATAAAGACCGTGACGTACTTTCAATTATAAGCGTTATTTTATATGACGGTTATGACCGCGGGCGCTTTAATGATCCGACAGAGGGCGTGACGACGTTCGGCATATGTTCGTCATGGATGCGCGCGCGGTGGTGAAACGAAAGGGGGAGAAACGACGACGACGACGGTGGCGCTACCGGAGGCGTCGGCGACGGCGGTGTGATTAAATACAAAGCGGGGTGACGCCCACCCCATTCGACCTGCGCCCCGACGCTAATCTTCTTGCGATGGCGCGGCAATTTGCTAAATGACGGCTCTTTCTTCTTCATCTTCTTCTTCTTCTTCTTTCTCGGTCGACGTTCTCTTCGGGGCAATGAAGTGGCACTTTTTGGCGACGACCGCCAATTTCCAAAATTGCCGCCGCCGGCCGGCGCCTTCTGTGATGAGGATTGAAACTACAACGCCGAAACGGACGTGGTATTTGTCGAGTCATTGTTTTAAATAATTTCCAGTTCCGCCCACATGTACTTAAAAAAATAGTAATACCTAAATAAAAAAGGAACTAGGGATGATGGGTTAGTAACAAAACCTCATCCGATGTATTTTTTGTTTTTCATTTCTCGTATATGTATACGAAGTATCTAAAGAGAAAGTTTTGTAATCGCGCATAAACAACAATTAGTAGATTATATTTAACCATTTTGTTATTAAATGTCTAAAATTTCTGTTACCAACCCATTATACGAGTTAAATAAAAAAAACGTCTCGATTTTTGAGAAAAAATCGTAAAAAAACTCTCTGACGCTTGTTATGTTGTTCTTGATGAAGGGGATATTTATTTTGTCGATATTCCATATAGTTCCATATGATAAAAATAGGTAATCAAAAAACATAGTGCTGGCATCTATTCCAGACTGGACGTCGCGCCTTTATTTTTTTATATAGGTAAAATAAAGGCGCGACGTTCTGTTTGTTAACACACAGCAGCCGGATTGGATAGAAACTTCCTAAATTAAATTGTGTCATCAAGGATTATGATGAATATCCGATCACACTAGAATAGTTTATCAAAATAACAGAGAATTCGATTAATACCATCAATACCTCAAAAAATTCGTCTGCATCTCTACTTTGATGTCTATAGAGCTACAAAAACACACTATAAAAAATATACTGAACCTGAACCGTTTTTTCCACATTTTTGGGCATATCTTGAAAACTGGACGTGATGGAAAAAAACTGAAGGCAATTTCAGAATCAGCTTAAGAGTAGCTGTATGATGAGTAGTTTTAAGATGATCCTAAATCCTTACAGCCACAATTCTTTCTACTACCTTAGTGCAAACATTTAAGATGCTAATAGACCGATCATTTAGTCATTTAGTCCTGAGGGGTTACTGCATTTCGTGATGGGGGACACCAAGGTTGTCTTCCATTTGTTCCAGGTTGTCTGCGGTTGAGAAATTCTTGACAATATCGTCGACCGGCAGCATTAGCATTGCCTACAGACTCTTCCAATGTTAAAAGCGTCTTAGTTTGCGCACCAAAACTGCAATTATTTGCCATTTTAAACAACTATTGGGAAATAATTTGACACTTTACTTACAATTTCTTTTTTTTTACATTTTGAGGTGAGCTTAAGTTTTTCAAACTTGGGAAAAATTCAAGAATCATCATGTGGCTGAAAAATCAACGATTTTTTTTAACCAATGTGAAACGAACCAAAAAACACGTTAAAAATAAAAAGAAACTGACTAACACTAAATTAACTTCAGTTATAAAACTTCTATTATATGATAACTAACTTCAGGTTTAAAATGTCAACCTCAATTTTGACATATTTGTAATCTTCATTAAAAATCCTTTAAAATGAGTACAAACACGACATATTTATCTTCAATATTAACGAAGTTATGGTCAACTTCCGGTTAAGAATGTCAACATCAATTTTGACATATTTGTAATCGTCGTGAAAAATCCTTTAAAATGAGCCCAAACATGATACGTTTAATTCCAATATTACTCGAGATATAAGCAACTTCCGGTTTGAGATGTCAATGTCATTTTGACATATTTTTAATTTTTATAAAATGGCTTCATATTTGTCACAAAAACGTAAATATAATAAGAAAATAAATCAAAAATTAAGGTTGGTATTAATATTTAAAAATTAAGTTGGTATCTTCATTGTTGCTAACTTCGGGTTTAATGTTTTTTGTTCGAAATTTTTTGTTTTTTGAGATAAATGCATCATGTTTGGACTCATTTTAAAGGTTTTTTAATGAAGATGACAAATATGTCAAAATTGACGTTGACGTTTCAAACCGGAAGTGATTGTATCTCCATTAATATTAAAGCTAAATATGTCGAGTTTGGACTCATTTTAAAGGATTTTTTATGAAGTTGACAAATATGTCAAAATTAAAACTTGAAACTTCGAACTTTTTGGTTTTATGAGATAAATGCGTCAAATTTTGACTCACTTTAAAGGTTATTTTATGAAGATTACGAATATAATAATAAAATTAAAGTTGACATTGACAACTGAAAGTTTTTTTCTACTAAACCTGAATACTTCTAGTTCTCGTTCTAGTTTTAGTTCAATAAAAATATAGCGCTACCTACCACTGCCACTAGAAGCTGCTACTACGTTTTTAGACGTATTATGCACGTTTAAAGCAAATAGTATTTTAGGTCTTTTGCTATTCTGCACTTTTTCTAAGATAAGTTACACCTTTACCTACCAGACAGCGTGAAAATCTCTAAGGGCCGGTTGTACAATATCCTGATAAACTTACCGACAGCGTTACCTGGCAGATAAGTTAGTTTGTACTGTATTACAATGTACGGATATTTTTGTCGGTGAGATTATCTGCAGGATAACTTATCGGGTACTCAGCGGTGCCGATAAGACACTTATCCGCCAAATATTTATTATCTACCAAGGTTTTTATATAAAAACTTTGTATGATTACTGCATAGGTTAATCTATAATATTAAACGTTAACCCTATATCAATGTAGTTAAACAATTATTATTGTCAAAATCATAATTCAAACTTCAAAGAAAGACGTTAGCGTAACCATTCTACGGCATAAATCACTAGATATGGGGAAAAACTACTACCAACCGACTCTTATTTCGCCGATAGCAATCCTACCGATAAAAACAGTTTGTACAACAGCGAATATCTTTATCCTCCTGATAAGTTTATCCGCCGGATAGATATCAGGTAGATTTATCGGTATATTGTACAACCGGCCCTAACAACAATAAAATGTCGCTTACTCAAGTGATGTATAACGAGATCCAATTATTTGTATGATAGTTTCGTGGAGCACTTCTTTATCGATTATAGTAATGAACCTGAAGGTGCTTGCGGGCTTCCTTGATCAAGTTGTGGTGTCAAAAATCATGACACTACTGCCTCGGCTTTAATTTAAATTCAAAGCTTTGCAATGTGAGACAATTATTTGTACGATAATTTCGATTATTATAATGAAGGTGAGGTTGCTTGCTGCCAAGGGGCTTTCTTGATCAAGTTGGGTTGCTAAGAATTGCCTCGGCCGCAAGCGACCTCGGCTATAATTTGAGTTCAAAGCTTCGCTTTGTATATCAATTATTTGTATTCATAATTTCATGATGCATTTCTACACCGATTATAGTAATGAAGCCGAAGATGCTTACGAGTGAGATATTTCCTTGATCAAGTTGGGTTGTCAAGAATTGCCTCGGCCGATAAGGAATACATCATGAAAGAACACCATGAAGTTGTCCATTTGTCTATTATATAATAACTAACTTCAGGTTTAAAATGCCAACCTCAATTTTGACATATTTGTAATCTTCATTAAAAATCCTTTAAAATGAGTACAAATACGACATATTTATCTCCAATATTAACGAAGTTATGGTCAACTTCCGGTTAAGAATGTCAACATCAATTTTGACATATTTGTAATCGTCGTGAAAAATCNAGCATCTGAAGAGTAATCGTGTCAATTTAGAGCTTTTTTGAATGAACGTTGGCTGGGATATAGGGTTTTAAAGTGCATGGTGAAAGTTGCCAAAAAAACCTTAAAATCAAAATAACTCGAAAACCAAAAACGTTAGGTACCAATAACGTTTATGAAAGTCAACATATTTTTTTACGTACAATTAAAAGGTGCAATAAAAACTATAGCATTCCATTTAAAATAACGAAGTTATGGTCTACTTCCGGTAGACCGGAAGTGGTAGCCATCTTGAAAATATTTGAGATCGAAAGTTCCGACTGAACAACCCATACTACCAAAATTTCAAAACTGTACGAATACTGGAACCTATAAAAGTTCTAGTTACGTGAGACACCCTGTATATATTATAGTATATAAGTATATATTACTTATTGTTAGGGTACATGAAATAAATGTACGATGTTTTCGGAGTTACATTAGCTTAAACATGCTTTTATTTTCAAATATTCGTTTCAAAATCCTTAATTTAGTTTTAAGCACTGTTTATAGATGAAATAAATCCTAGCTAACCATTAAAGAGATTTGTAATGAAAATGTTTAATATACATTTTCAACTTCATTTAGTTGTAATTAGATTTTTGGCCAGATATTCATAACTTGCTAACACTGTGCGCTGCCTCGATTAAATTGTGTTGTCAAAACATTATATTTAATTATAAATCAATCTAATTTTTGTTATTACACTGTGCGAATGTTATTAGTAATAAATATAAAGATGCGAGAAAATAAAATTTTTAGATTGCTCATCGTCTTAAACGATTCCCACAGCGAGGCGTTTCACTCTGGTGTAATTTAAGAAAAAGGGGGCCCCCGACGTGGCGCTAAAGTTAATCTGTTGTCGGCGCCTAAGCTACACTCAGCACTTTTAAAAAGCACCGGAGCACTTAGTTCGAGTTAAACGATCTCAGACAAAAACAACCCCAAACGAAAATAAATGAAAGATTATAAAAGAAATTTTATAACTTATTAATTTATTTATTTTTTGTTTGTTTCAGAACTAAATGGAAACGACAAACGGCTGTCGGATTAGAATTATTAGCTGAAGCTGGAAATTATGCAGCTTTTCAACGATTATACGGAGCACCACCTTACGGTTGTTGGTATCCTCCTCAATCAGGACCAAGCGCAGCCCCGAGTGCAGCTGATTTATATTACAGACAGGCGGCGGCTGCGGCTGCTGTAACGCTCCAGAAACCGTTACCTTATCGATTATATCCCCCGGGAATGGGATTGGGTATCCCAGGACCTAGTGCTCACCTAAACAGTTTAGCAGCAAGCAGTTCATTGACCAATTTATCGAATTATTATGGTGGTGGTCAAACGACGGAATCAACAGCACCACGATCTCCAAGCCCGGACACACCACTCGATCCGGGTTCTCCCGGATCGGGAGGAAGAAGGACGCCAAGTGACGATGAGGACACTATACACGTGTAAAATAAATATTTAAGAAGATATTTAAGAAGATGAAACGTAGTGGTGGTGTGCAAAATGAGACTTAAAAATAATTTCGAAAAAATTTCGGAACGAAGAAGAGTATATGTTATCGATAGTGCTGACAGTTTTTGAATTGTGATATCACGGACGTTTATGTACAGACGGTTGTTAATTTATTCGAGGAACTTTTTGTTTCGTTTTTTAATTTTTTTCAGTCCGCGCTTTTCGGTGTTTTCCGTGTCTCCACGTCCATCCGGCGAAGTGTCAAAAACCGTCACATTCCGTTGGTTTCGGCGTGAATCTCCCCTCCCCATTTTACATTTTTCTTTTTTTAATTTTTCGTGTAAATCACACTTCTGTATTTTTGTGTATAAATTTTGAAACGATTAAACGAAGATTAAGTTTAACAATTGAGTTTGTTTCTGATTTATTTCCTTTCCATTGTTTAAAGTTGAGTCGAAATTTGTCTTAGACAAAATGCAGAATACCGAAAGACCTAAAATACTATTTTATTTAAAGGATAAAGCTAAGCGATAATGACTAAGAAGCGACTCAGATACGACACTTAGATACACCAAGAAATTCTACTATAGAAAAAATAGATGAATATTTATATAGAATTTAAGTCTAACTAGTTTCGACCCTTAAGCCATCTTCAGAGACTCTACAAACAGATTAACATCTCTCATCTTATCGATATTACAAACAAGTTTCTTAATATTTCTTTTTGTTTTGTTAAAAAAGTTCACATATCAAAGTCGAAATCAGATTATTAGTTACTAATTTACAAAATT